CATGTGACGGCGGATGCAGGAACAAGCAAGGATGAGGATGATAACACGAGCGAGAGAAAAAGCACGAGTACCGTATAAAAAGGCATGTTTTGGTGATGAGGGATGAAGAGGGGAACTCTATTTAAAGAGGTTAGTAGAGGAATGCTGTGTTTAGATTTTGGTGCGAAATGACAAACAACTTGGGCTGCCTGCTTAATTCGAGTTTTCAATTGTTTTCCTGAGACACGCTTCAGCTTATTAAACTAGTACTGCATACACAGGTACTGCTACACATTATTGGTTTTTATTTTCGAACACCGCGATGCATGGCTGGACGTGAGCTGTATTTATATATATTTTTAAAGCCAATCGCTAGGCTGTACACCGCCTAAGTTTCCTTATCTAATAAACGTTATAAATATTGAGAGAGTCAAAGGAGTTTCTATTATCAGTCAAAACAATCTAATGCAAAATTTAGAATAAGAAAAATTCCTCAAGGACCCAAAATATGAGACCAATAGAGGGGACAAGTGAGGTGTCTCCCTCCTATTGGATAATGAGTTGGCCATCATTAATGATGGCCAACTCATTATCCAATAGGAGGGAGACACCTCACTAAAAACTAACTAAATTTTCCAAAAGTAGGAAATAAGGAAGCTGTTAGAGATGCTCTAACTACCACACTCATCAGTGACACCGTGGAAGCGGAGTTCCGCAGAGACACTTGTTATGGAGGTACGACGGGCTGTGGAAACGCCTCATCTTGCCTCCCGTCGGAATCCTCCCGCAAAGCCTGTTGTGGCTCAAGTCCAGTTTCATCAGTCCTGTAGCCTTGGTGATCTGCCGAGGGATGCCACCCCTGATTCTATTCCGGCTCAGATCCAGGGCCACCAAGTCCCGCGCGAACATCAGCTCGGACATGTCGAAATTAAGCTCGTTGCTCGACAAATCGATCTCTCTCGCCCATTTATCCGTTCCGAACAGAAACGAAGCATCCCCGGTGAGAAGGTTTCGAGAAAGATCAACAGTGTCAAAGTTTATCCTGCCGAGCTCTCTCGGTATAGGGCCACTGAGGTGGGCATCTCCGAAAGTGCCGGGGATGGGCCCAGTGAGCCTGTTGGAGGACAAGTTGAAAGTGAGAAAACGCATCTCCGAAAGTGCCGGGGATGGGCCCAGTGAGCCTGTTGGAGGACAAGTTGAAAGTGAGGAGCTGAGTCAGGCTTCCTATAGCCGAGGGGATCGAGCCCGAAAGGCCCGTGTTAGTGATCGCGAGTTGTTTGAGGCCCGTGAGCTTGGTGATGGAGGGGCCGGGTATTGGGCCTGTGAGGTTAGGGAGGTTGTGGAAGTCGACGTAAGCGAGGACGGGGAAGTCGCCGATGACGGAAGGGATTGGGCCGGATACGGTGGCACATTACGCCCTTGTCATTGCGGCAGGTCACGTGGCCGGTTCCACGATGAAAGGGCAAAGGGGGTGCCGAAGATTCTTTGACTGAGGAGGTGATCTCTGTCTGGCTTTGTCAAGGGCATGTGACGGCGGATGCAGGAACAAGCAAGGATGAGGATGATAACACGAGCGAGAGAAAGCACGAGAGTACCGTATAAAAAGGCATGTTTTGGTGATGAGGGATGAAGAGGGGAACTCTATTTAAAGAGGTTAGTAGAGGAATGCTGTGATTAGATTTTGGTGCGAAATGACAAACAACTTGGGCTGCCTGCTTAATTCGAGTTTTCAATTGTTTTCCTGAGACACGCTTCAGCTTATTAAACTAGTACTGCATACACAGGTACTGCTACACATTATTGGTTTTTATTTTCGAACACCGCGATGCATGGCTGGACGTGAGCTGTATTTATATATATTTTTAAAGCCAATCGCTAGGCTGTACACCGCCTAAGTTTCCTTATCTAATAAACGTTATAAATATTGAGAGAGTCAAAGGAGTTTCTATTATCAGTCAAAACAATCTAATGCAAAATTTAGAATAAGAAAAATTCCTCAAGGACCCAAAATATGAGACCAATAGAGGGGACAAGTGAGGTGTCTCCCTCCTATTGGATAATGAGTTGGCCATCATTAATGATGGCCAACTCATTATCCAATAGGAGAGAGACACCTCACTTGTCTCCTCTATTGGTCCCATATTTTGGGTCCCTGTAGCAAAGCTCCCCACAAGAGAAACTTCCACTGTGCTGAAAATTTTTACCACCCACCCTGTGATCTTTCCACCCGATGACCAACTTGGGCATAAAATAACCCAAAAATCCTAGAGAAAAAAAAAATACACTAACGAAGAATGAAGTGGTCGGCAAAAGAATGATGAAACCACCACGAAAGCTGCCTAAGTAACCTTATCTTCCTCCTCTATTTCCCATTTTCTTCTCTCTCTTGGTTTATGCTTTGAATAACCGAAACCCAATATAAAGAGTTGTTTCTGTACGAAACCAAAAACAACTCCAGAACATAATAATGTTTTATTTTTGAACTAGGAATTTGACGTAGGATGCTTAATGGACAATTTCATGGAGGATCGGGATAATCACAAGCTAAATGTGGATACATGCATATTATTGACTTCTGGAAAAAACGATCATATGTTCCAATCTGGAAGGCATATTCTGACATATTATATATGTTAATCGCCTATCTCGTTGAGATGAAGCCAACCGGATTATCATATTTCTAAAATCTTATTAGTGTCACTAGTTTTTAGTAAAAATATAAAAATAATTAATGTTTAGTTTATTTTTAGTAATAAAGTTAGAGTCTATTTAGATTAGGAAACAAATTCAATGTTGGATCAATTTAGGTTAGGAAACAAATTTAGTTTTGATTCATGAATTTGTTTCCTATATTATAAAGAGTCTTTTTAGGGTACGATTTAATACTTTCTATTTCTTTGTGATTATAGTCTTACTAGGAGTCTAGTTTTTTTTTTTTTTAAGAAGAGATATGTAACCCCAAAATTATTAGATCACTTTTATCAATAAAATTCTCTTTTATATTACTTCATGGATTCGAAGTTGTCTCTTTGTCCGTTCGAAGATTGTTCTTTATAGATTCAAAGAGCACCACTTGGTGGACTCCGAGATTTACCACTTCCACGCTACAGTGGCAAATACACTTCATTATATGCTAAGGATTCTAACAGGGGCAGTTCTCTTGAGTGGTACCCAGTTGTAAGTCGTGCGCCCACAAATGGATAAAAAATCGCTCTTCTAACCTAATGTGAGTAAATGGTTTGACCAAACCACCACTGTAATCATGTGTGAGCCCACATTATCCCCATGGAGGTTGGTAGAGCTGCTATAGTTTTGAAAGAACCCTAGAGGGGGTGTGAATATGGTATTTGCTAATCTAATCCGATATTAATGCTAATTTAAAACTTATTAACTAGTTTATTGTTGCAAGTGAGATATTCAACAAGTTATGAGCAAGAATATGTAATTTAAACAAAGGGCGAAATAAACATCAACACACAAGATACAAATGAGATAGTGTGCAAATGACAATCGCAAACAAACAATGTGATCACGGAGTTTGGTCACTCCCGACTTACATCTCCTCTCCCCACTCTCCAGAAGAATCTCTACTATCTCAAAAGTAACTACACACTCGGTTTTTTAAGTTCACCAAAAACTTTTACAACTCACACAATTGTAACTACACAATATATCATCTAAGTGTTGGCCTAGCTCGTGTCAACTTCCTCAAGTGCTTGGATTTACTATTTCTCCCTAGGCTTTACTACCAACGTCACTCCTCTCAGAATTGACACCGTCTCTCACCAACCACTCCTCTCGATGTCCTTGTGTATTACAACGTGATCTTAATAATGAAGTATAAATAAAATGATTGTTCTCCAATACAAATGATAATGAAATATAAGCTCACTCAATCGCACCCACAACCCGAATATACTCGATATCAAACATGATAATCCAGAAGAGGATATTTGTGGGGTGGTGAAGGATGATGGAGGGTCCGCTCCCTTCTTTGACTTTATGCATGGTTCTTGAATGAGAGCTTGATGTTAACACTTTCTTCTTTGACTCTTTGCCTGATTCTGGATTTAGGATGATTGAGCAATCTGCACACAAAGAATCATAAGAGGGCAGGGATAAGTTTTTCGTGTTACCTCAGACGATCAAGTCAGTTAATAAACTTGAACTTGAGTGGAGTAACAGAACTATGTGTTCTTGTTTCTGTGTGGTGTGTGCCCTTGGGAGTTTTGGATTGCGACCCTCTCCTTTTGCTATGGCGAATAGTATTTTTATATCAAGAGGGTGCTCATGGCAGATTGGTCACTTCGTCCCTACAAAATGGTGATCACAAAGTATGAGCTGGAAGGTGAGTGATCCTTTGCTCTACATGTGTCGGCTGGTGACTGGGGAGGAAGTCACTTCATCACGGGAGAGAGTGTCTCTGCATTTTTCGGGAAGTGATTGATAACGTGACAGAAGGCACGTGGGCATACTGAATCATCCCTCGCTTTACAGGTGTCGGTTGTTTTGGGTGAAAGTTAATTTCTTTATTGAGGAATTCATTACAACTTCAGTCATTACAATGAAAACAAAAGGATAGTCCTTTTATAAGACTCTTACACAATAAAAAAAATTTATAACTCTCGTCAAAACAAACACAATGGATGTTTATCTCCCGCTGTTTGCGTGAGATCTTTGTCTGTACCGAGATTTATCCGTGGACCACCAAACGATCAGATCTAGATGAAGATTTCATTGATTCGCGAAGGAGTCAAGAAACTGAAGAAATTATCTCAGTAACAGCAAGATAACCACTCTTCTCGAGATCACAACAACGGTGCGATCTCAAGGGAAGAACTGGGCTACAAATCTGTTGAACTCTACTTCTTTATGCCGAAGAATTTGCTGAGATCTCATCATCCTCTCTGAAATTCGTGGATCTTCGAAATTTGATAAATTAGTTTAAATCTGAATGGCTGATAACTTCATCCAATGATTAACTGATCAATATGCTTTTCTGATGATATCACATTCCTAATGTCCATCTACATGCAGCATACTTTGTTGAAAGCTCTGATAAAATTCATGAACACTGGTTAAACAGCAATTAAAGATTAAATGTCTTAATTTATGTCATCAATAAAGAATACACTGATACAATTCTTTTGTACTCTAATCCTCAATTAACTTAAGCATGTAAGCACAACCAAAAAACCTTCAAGTCTAAGAAATGCTAAAGCTAAAAAGTGAGACAAAAATGTAATATCTAACAATTAATTTACTAGATTGTAATATCACTCTTTAAAAAAATTATTAGAAAAACTGTAAATTTCCTTTAGGAGACGTGGGAATAAAAAATAATAGTTCTCTAAATCATAAACTTGCAAGACACTAAACCCATTAATTTAATAACTTTCTCTCACAACTTAAATAAACCCTAATTGCTAAATAAATTGTGATTACTTTCTACTAATCCGCTAATGAATTGAATAAAAAAAACAAAGAGATCTTACCTTAATGGGTTTTTCTACAAGGGTTGGCTTTTGAGAAGCTACTTTGTACATCCAATAAATCTAATCAAAAGACCCAAAAATATCAAATATAGTAATTAGCAGAGAAAAGATAAATCAAGGGGGGAGAGGGAGAGAGATAGGGTTTTGAGTACTAAAGCTGAGAGATGAGCGGTCATGAGAACCATCACGAGAAGAGGAACAGACTCTAGAAACCAGGGTCGACTAGTTTGCGCCATTAGAGATGCTGCTGAGCTCTGAGGAGGAGGCGGTGGAGGAGGAGGCGGAGGAGCGACAACCCCGACGAAGATCAGCAGGACGAGGTACGTTGGCGAAGAGCAGCAGGACGAGGGCGCCGATGGAGGCGGAGGAGCGCCGGCGAAGATGAGGGAGGCGAAGGGTGTACTATGGCCCGTGGCGAAGATGAGGGAGCCCCTGGCGATCAAAGATGAGGTGCGTTGCCGGCGGCCGCGGTCGGACTTTGACGGGGTCGGATGAGGGATTTTCGACGCGATCGGACGAGGGGGTTAGGGATTTGGGAGGGTGCGGTCTTAAAATTTTTAGGAATGATTTTTTGGCGGTGGGATGAAATTTTTGGGGGGATAGAGAAGAAAGGCTTTTAATTTTTGAAAAAGCTAATAAAAACTCCAAAACGGTTTTAACCGTTTGGGCTGAGATGTGCCAAACAGTTAAAACCGTTTGGTTCAGTCATTTGGGGTTTTTAACAGCCCAAACGGTTTTAACCGTTTGAGTTTATTATCCTAAATGATTAAACTCGTTTGGGCTATTTGGACTTATCCAAATGGTTATAATAACTGTTTGGACAGCGCTGTTTTATACTAGTGAAACACCCCCTAAAAGATTTGAAGCGTAAATACAACATAACATGCCACATATATTGAATCACGTGGGAGAGCAAGTATCTAGGTGACATGGTTTGGAAATCAAGACTACCAACTGTATCACTAATTAGCAGAAATATTATAATCGTCAGTCGTGTCGCACGTTTCTGAAACCTGCATATAAATGGAAAAGGTAACAGGGACGAAGCTCATCACGCAAATTATAAAACTTATCAGCACGTTACATGAGTCATGACTCCCCTCACCTAGGTGAGTGTTTGGCAACCATGGCGTTTTTACCGTTTTCGTTTTTTTTCAAAAAAAACAATGAAACGTGTTTGGCAACCGGGGCGATTTTTTGACTTGACCCTTTACAAAATCCAAAAAATAAACGCTTTTCTTAAAACACCATAATGCCATCTAAGGCTGGCGCGCCAGTACCGTCTGCGCTAGCACGCCGGGCTGCTCGTCGACCATACTGGCGCCCACGCCACCACCCGCCGCTGCCCGTTTTTTCATCTAAGCCCCGCCGTCGGCGTCCGCCGTCGCCACCCTCGGCCGTCCGCCCGTCGCCGCCCCCGTTGCTCGTCGATGCGTTCGGCCGCTCGCCGCCACCACCCGTCGCTGCCGCGCCTGCCGCCACCTGCCGCGCCGCCGCCGCTGCCCGGCGCTGTCTGCCCAACCGCCGCCCCGGCGCTGGCTCGTCGACCGGGGGTCTACGGCGCCCACTCAGTCCACCCGCCTACGGCAGCGCCCTGCTGCCGCGCCCGCCGCCCCTAGCTAGCCCGTCTCCGCCCGTCGTGCCTTGTCAGCCGTCGCGCCCGCCCGCCGCCGCTGCGCCGTCGCCGCAGCCGGCCCGCCCGCCGCCTAGCCGCCGCCGCCACCTTCCGCCGCCGCCCCTAAGCCCGCGCCGTCACTATCGTCGCCGCGGCGCTGCCTGTCGGCCGTACCGCTGCCCGCCGTCACTGGCTGGCCCGGTTTTTTCATCTAAGCCGCTGCGACCGTGCGGCCGTCCGCCCGCCGCTGCTCGTCGATCGGCACCGCGCGTCACCACCGCGCTAGCTCGTCGATCGGCCGCGCCACCGACCCAGCGCGGCTGTCACCGCCTGGCACGACACCCGCGACTGCCGTTGCCGTCGCTGGCCCTCGGCCGTCCCGCCGTCGTCGCCCGCCGAGCCTGTCCGCACCCCCGCTGCCGGCCCTGTCGGCCACTTACCCCGCCGTCACCGCTAAGCACGCCGCGTACCGCCGCTAGCACCGCCGCGCGCCCCGCCGCCTGTCGCAAAGCCGCCCGCACGGCGCCCGCAGCCCGCTCCGGTGGTGCGATGCGCCCGCCGCTCGCCCGCCCGCCGCCTACACACTCAGCTGTCGTCGTCGTCCCGGATCGTCGATCGCCCGCCGGCTTGCTGGCGCGCGCGGTCCGTTGTCTGGTCGTCGCCGCCCGCCGCTCTGCCTTGCCGTGCGTCGTCGTCACGGTCGTCGGAGCAAAGCCCGCCGGCCTATATAAATAATAACTATAAATGGTGTTTTAAAAACACGTTTGAAAAATAAACACCATGGTATGGTGTTTTTTTAAAAAAACACTACAAAAAGAAACACTTTGGTTACCAAACACACTAACCCCTTTTTGCATTATACATCCCACTTCTTGTTTGCAGTGATCTTCATCAATTAATTAAAGGAACTGAATCGGTAACACCTGGTTGAGATCTTACAAAAAAACAATGTCTTCTCTCCTCCTGGTTGAGATCTTACAAAAAAACAATGTCTTCTCTCCTCTCTGTTTTCCTCCTCCTCTTGGCCTCCTCAATCCACCCAATATCCTCACAACCATGCAACAAAGCAGACATGGCCACCCTCCTCAGCATCAAGAACTCCTTCGGCAACCCCTCCGAACTTGTCTCTTGGAACTCAGGCCGTGCGGCCGA